CATTGTTTCTTTTCATCTTTACACCATTTCTTATCAGATAGATACTGTCTACTACCCCCAGTTTACAGGTGAATGAACTGGAGCTTGGTGACTTGAGTTCACTTATTCAAGGTCACTTGGTATTACGTGTCCAAGCATGGCTATATCCAGGCTGCCTGACCCAGACCTGGCTCTTAACCTCCCAGTGGGCATCCAACTCCCAGGCAACATCTCTGGCTCGACTGCTAACCGCTCACCTGAGCCAGAGCTGAACTGTGCACCCACTTTGCCCTCCAGCCCACCCCCTGTAGATGCCCAGAGGCTCCTCAATTCCACATGCCCAAAAATACGCCCTTACCCCACACACACTCCTGCTTGTCCGCTGGTACCTGCCATTCCCAATGCCATTCACTAGGCTGTTTGGGGCCTTAGTGAGAATTGGAAAAAGGCGCCTCTTCCCTTCATGCAGACACAGGCCCAAACTGGCTTGCAGGGCCTGGTTAGTGGAGACGTGGCCTGCGTAGCCCAGCGCAATGTCTCAGGCTCCACCACCTTCCGCCATGCTCAGAACGATACTGGAACTTGTCCTTGACTTCTCTGTTTCTCTCTCTTTCCTCCTCTCTTTCTCATCAAGCTCTATTTTGCTTTTCCAGGAGGTCTCCAAGGAACATGTCCCAGACACTTTGTCATCCCTTATCCTCTGGAATAGCACCCCAAGGCAGAAGCCACTGGGCTCCCGGGTCATTTCTGAGAGAAAGGAAGGTGTGTCATCAGGACCAGGATGACAAAGCCCCCAAGAGCCTGGCCCCCATCAGTACTGCTTGCAACCTAAGGTAGTCACAGACTTGGCCTCTGGGGCCACAAGGAGGAAGCACTGGAGGCCAGCTGCCCTTGAAGCCTACAGGAAGATGAGCAAGGTGCTGGCACAACCTGGGGGGCAGCGGGGGTGGGGGCGGGGTCCCTGGAGCCATGCCACGGGAAAGCCTTTGCACTTAAGGGGGAAGAGCCCTGCTGAAGCTCAAGTTAAAAGCGCTCTGCTGATCTGCCCTTCCTATTGAGCGTGCAGCCACCAGATGGCAGCCAAGGCTCCAGGCAGACAGACAAGGCAGGTGGAGCACGGAGGTTCAGGGGGGCTCATCACTGACCCCACGACCTTCAATCAGAGAGCGGGAAAGAGTGAGTACGTGTGCATGCATGTGTGTGTGTGTTCTTCTGCACCTATGTGTGCTGAAGGGTATGGACAGAATACACCTGGACAAACAACTGGGCTTAGTCCCTTCCTTTGGGTTTCCTCACCACACCTGGGGCTTCCCTTCCCCTGAGTCCAGCCCTGTCTCGGGTGCTGGTGATGCAGAGGGAAGTGACCCCGTTCCTGCCCTCCAGGAGCTCCCAGGCCTGGCAAGTAAACAGACCACAGAGATGGTGGGAATAGCCCAGAGGAAGGCCCAGTCCCGGGTGGGCAAGGAACTTTCCCTGCACCTGAAGGGCTTTCTGGCAGTGGCAGGTGCAATAACAGAGTACATTAGCTCTGTCTCCCCCCAGCAGCCCTGCAGGGAAGACCCGACAGAAGCCAGCCTACTGGCAAGCCAGTGGGGCAGCTGATCGGCTGGGCGGTCCACAAGCGATGAGGAAGAGCTGAAATTTGAAGACGACTCTGCATGATTCTCAAGCTCAAGCTCTTGGCCACCGAGTGCACTTCTGGGGACTGGAAATGGGGAGGAGAGCCAAGCTGGAGGGTCCAGGCCCCAAGCCAGACCTGGAGGAGAGGCAGATACTTCCCACCCTGGTCCCAGAGCAAGTTCAGCTGGCTCCAACTATCTGACTCACCTGTGAACTCTGGTCCAAGGGGACAAGGCAGAGCGCATGTGACTGGGATCACCCCTGGAGTGCCACTCTGCACTCCCACCCCCGCCTGTACCCTAAGCTGGGGAGCCATCTCTGTGAAGCTATAGTCTTGATCTGATGGCTCCTTGAAGCGGTATTTCTGCTTAGGCTATTCTGAGCATAAGGGAAATCACCTTTTTTTTCTTTTTTTTTAAGATTTTATTTATTTATTTGACAGAGAGAGACACAGCAGAGAGAGGGAACACAAGCAGGGGGAGTGGGAGAGGGAGAAGCAGGCCTCCCGCCAAGCAGGGAGCCCGATGCGGGGCTCGATCCCAGGACCCTGGGATCATGACCTGAGCCGAAGGCAGACGCTTAACGACAGAGCCACCCAGGTGCCCCAAGGGAAATCATCTTGAAAATCATTCCAACCACCTGGCACTCTGTCCTATAACAGGTGACACTCGAGATAGAATTCCACAGCCCTTTTTTTGAAACCAACTCCAAACTGGAAGTTCCTCTTGGAGTCTAACTGAAGTAAGCAGCACGGCCATCTACCTCCAACTCCTCAGTTCCTGGGCAGAGCCTGAGTTTGGACGTAACCTATACTGCAACCCTGTGAAATTCACACATTTTAGGTAGAGAAGGAAAAAGAAAGGTGCGAGCCCTGTCCCAGGAAGCAGGAAGAGCAAGAATGTCCTCTAGCAGTAAGAGAATCTCCAGGCCCTACAGCCAGGGCCTGCGCAACCTGAGCATTCTGCCCAGAGAGCGGCTGGAGGCATCAGTGGGAGAGGGCGCCACACGAAGAAGTGAGACGCCAACGAGGGGGGGCGAGGGACTGTCCCCAGCCAAGGGACTGGCACGAGGCCGCTTGGGCAGGTGGGGCGCGCAGGGGAACCCACCGGACACAGAGAAAGATGCAAGGGGAAAGAGGAGATGGTGAGCACTAGCTCAGGTGGAGGGAGGAGGGAGAGGAGACTAGAAGATGGAGATAAAAACAGAGACCAAAAGGTGCACTCCGGGAGACAGTGATCCATAAAGGCTGGGGGAGCAAAGAAGGAGACAGGGACTGGGTGGGAGGAAAGGGCGGGGAGGGAGCAGGAAGTCGTGAAGGCCCACCAGCCATTTGGCTCCAGTGGCCGGGTGCCTCCCCCCGTCTGTCACTCAAGGAGTAGAGAATACCCAGACCTGGAGGAGAGGCAGATACTTCCCACCCGGGCTTGCCTCCCCACCCCCCCATCCCCACCCCCCCACCCCCACCCCCACCCCGCCCCAGCCCAGAGGCTCCCTTCCCCAGGCCCCCTGATGGCTGCCCCCTTGGGACTGGCTGTGCAGCCCCGATAGATGGTGGGGGGCCCAGCTGGTGTGTTATCAGCCTCCTCCAGGAGCAAGCCTGAGCCACTCCACGGCTGCCAGCCTGAGATTAGGCCCCGGAGGGTCATTAAGCACCGCCCTGGCCCGGGCCCAGCCTCCTTTCCCTCCCTCCTCTCTGGCCCGGCTGGCAGGTGGGAACAGGCGATAAGGACTGGGGGCTCTGGGGCCGGCAGCTCCATGCCCCCTGCCCCCTGCCAGGGCAGGAACATGGGGTGGGGGGAAGGTCAGTGCCAGCCCAGCATCTGCAAGGACCCCAGGGTTCCCACCATCCTGGTTCCTCCAGCGTGGAAAGAGGGCTGAGGAGGCTCCCCGAGAGGCCAAGGCAGGGGAGAGGGTGGCCTGCCCCAGGAACCAGGCAGGACAGTGACTGCCACCGGCCCCTGCTGGGCAGCCTCACAGGTGAGAGAGGCCAAGGGATGGTGGCTCTGCTTTCTACCCTGGGGGGCGTGTGGGGCCAGACCTGAACCCACCCCCAGTCCCTCAGGGACAACTGGGGGCAGCAGTGGGAGGAAATGGAGGTTCGTGCAAGGAGAATCAGATCCAGGCAGCCAAAAAGGTTCAGACCAGGAGATTAGAAAAGGAAGAAGAGGGTGTTTGTCCCTTAGCAGAGGCCCTCCAGTAACCTCCATCCCTCCTCCAGTAAGTTAGAGGCTGGGCTCGCTGGCCCCCTGGCTCTGCCCTCTGGTCTAGTCAAGGAAGACCTCCTGGAGGAAGAGGAACCTTGGCAGAGCCAAGAAAAAGGAATATGCAGAGTTGGAACTGGCAGCAGTGGGTGAGAAGGCATCTGCCCACATGAGCACATCCACAATTCACTGAGCTGAAGCTCAGAGAGGGGAGGCAATTTGTCCTGAGTCACACAGCAGACAAGGGTAGGCCTGGGGCAAAGACCCTGCCTTCCTTCTGCACAGGGCTCTTCCCTCTGCCACAGGCTACAAACTAGACCTCAGTGTGGTAAGAAAGGCTAAATCAGATCTTAGACGGGGCATCCCTGGAGCATTTGGCTGAAACCCTCGAACAGCAGAACAATGGCTACAGCGGGGAAGTGAGGGGGCCATCACTGGTTGGGGCAGCTGACCGAGGGAGATCTCTGGGACAAGGTGGACTGCCTCCTTCCCTCTAGCCCCACTCCTCTGCACCTGGGAGTGCCCCTGCCTGGGTCTTTCTCAGGTTGTCACCCCAGATTCTGTTCCCAGAAGAATGACAGTCACAAGGACGAGGGGCCTCTGGGGTCGGCCAGCCCGCTGGGCGTGTCTCCTCCCCACTCCCTCTTGCTTCATTCTCCCTGGGACCCAGTTCCCTGACTCCACCCGCCCCCCCCAGGACCGGGAATCAGGGGCACTGGTGAGGATGATTCTACTCCAGCTTTGCAGTGAAACTAGCCAAAGCCTCCCCAGAGCGGAAGCTGAGTTCAGAGAGGACTGTGGCTCTCCCAAAGTCACATAATAAGTCTACAGGAGACAAGGACTCAAAGCCGGGCTTCGTGAGTCCTAGGCCAAGCTCTGTCTCAGAACTTCTTATGCTCAAAGGCCAGCCGAGGCAGGCTAGAGCTGCCTGGGTAAGGGTTGAGTGAGCCACCTACAAAGCCAGGCAGCATAGAGGATAGGGAGGGGTATCCGTACTGAACAAGGAAGGGCCCAGAATCACAGCTGTTAAGGGTAGGTCAGGGGAGGGGCACTGGCAGCAGGGTCTCTGCCTGGAACAAGGGGCGGAGTGGGTGAGCTCCCTGGCCCCAAGGGGCCTCCCAGAGAGGGTTTCCTGGGTAATCCTCCAAAGCTACCATGACAGTAGCTTTGGAAGGTGATTGTCATGATTCAGAAAACAAGACTGGGCCTGGCTGTAAGCCTGAGGGGCTGTTTCTGAGCCCTGGGAACATCAGGCCTGGAAATACAAAACATCTTTATTTCACAGAAATGAGAGCCATTTCCATAGTTAGAGGGAGAGGGTGTGAGGCAGGGTGGGAGGTGATGAGCTGACTGTCCTCTTCGGAAGGGTCTTCTGAATTGAATTGGGTGGGAGACCTGCCAGGAAACCCTAGGGCCACAGCTGAGCCCCAACCTGGACACAGCTCTGGCTTTGGCTGGTGACAGTTCAAGCGAAGGTGGGCAGTGTGGGGTTGGAAGAGTGGGCCCCTTACTGTAGGTTCCTGCACAGAGAAGGAGCGGCTTGGGTGGTGAGCCGGGCATCCATCACAGGCACGTGGGGTCAGGGCTGGGGGCCACATGCAAGTGGGGGTCACATGGGGGTGCTCCGGACCTTGCCCTCTTCCTCGGGGACATTCTCATAGGCATTCTTGTGCTCACTGGAGCTGAAAGAGGATGACAGGGGTCACCACCCCCTCTGTGCCGTCCCCTTCTCTCTGCTCTATCCTACACCTGTGAGGGCAGTATCTTCCAGGATAAATATACTTGAGTGCCAGAAGGGGGTTCCCCTACCCATGTCTGGTCCCAGGTGCACCTGTGACTGGAGGCCTCTCAGCACCCCTTGCCTCCCTGAGCCCCATCTCTCTCCTATGCTGCGCCCCTCCCCCACTGGAGCCCCACTGAACAATCCCTTCATGGAGCCCATCTCCCCACTGAGCAGCGCCCCCCACCTACCCCTCCCCCCTCCCCACACATTGAGTCCCCTTCTCTCCTTGAGTCCCTTTGCCCCACTGCACCCCTCCACCCCTCTGTATGAGTTCCAGTCTCTGGCTGAGCTGCTCCCACCAGTCCCATCCCCTTACTGGACCCTCTCCCCAGCTGAGCTGGCGGTCCCCCAGGAGCCCTGTGTCCTCACAAAGCCCCCACCGCCCCCCTCCGTCAGCTCCTCTCTTCGCTGAGCCCTCCCCCACATGAGTGGCCTTCTTTCCCTGCCCTCCCCCCGCTTCCACCCCCACCTCTCAGAAGCACCCGGTCCTTCTGGAGCACAGAGTGGTTAACCCTGTGCCGACCCCTCACCTGAAGCTGGCCGCCATCGAGGAGTACCTTCCGTCTGTTCCTACCAGGATTCCATCTGACTTGTTTCCAACGGTCATGACCACGTCCCCGGGCTCCCTGTGGACGAGGCTCATCAGTAGGGCTCCCCAGGTCCCTACCCTCTTTGTTCCGCCTCCTCCCCTTGTCCAGGCAGGCCCTGTCCTAGGCACTGGTCCTCACAAGCCCAGGGGCAGAGGCTGGCTCTCACCAGAAGCCCCTCTCTCCAGCCGGGCCCCTGTCAGTGGCCTGATTCTGGCCCTTCCTGCTCCAAGGTGGGGGCCTCAGGTCCCGGCCTGAGATTTGCAAAAGATTTATCCAAGGCCTCTCCCCGACCATGGCCCGGCCTCCCTCTACGGTTCTCCTTCTGGCCTCAGCTCAAGACCCAGCGGGATTTGGTGTCTGCCCCAGACATCTACACGGCTTTCCCCGGCACCGGGCGCAGACACGGTCCACATCCACTCAAGGCACAGCCTGGGTCACTTGAAAAAAGAAGCACTTCTGACAAAAAGCTCCTGGCCTCTTATTCAAGTTTAAACCCAGTGAGTGTGGCCTCTGCCCCCGCCGACCCGGAAGCCGCTCTCACAGGGTCGCAGCACCGCTGCTTGCCCTTCCCTGGACACCACCCAGGCCCCTCACACTCAGCACATCCCAAGTTAACTCAGCAGCTGCCTCCAGATCGGCCTCGGGGGCTCCGTGTCTCCGTGAGCGGTGGCACCAGCAGCCTGAGGGACGCAGCCCTGTCCTTCCTTCCTCCTGCCCGCTGCCGACCCCCTCCACCAACTTCTGGGGATCCGCGCCCTAGACAGCTCTCAGACATGTCCCCTCCCCATCCCCTCTGCTGCCTCCAGAGGCCAGACTCTGTCCTGACCTCACGCTCACCCCCCCCTCACTGCCCTTCTTGCCTGCCCCTACCGCACGCGTGCAGCCCAGCGCTGCCAGGGTCGTTCTGCTCAGGCCGCCTGTCATCCCAAGACCAGCATACAAGCTTTCACTGGATTCCTACTGCACGAAGGATAAAGCCCAAAGTTCAGGGCGCAGGTGTACGGGGCCTGCTGGGCCCAGGTCCTGCCCAGCTCGCCAGTCTCTCTTGGGGCCTCTCTACGCCTCTCTCTGCCCGTGAACGCTTGTGCTCCCTCACTGGGCCGCGCGGGGCCTCGGCTGGCGCCCAGGCACCGGTCCCCCTTCGTGAGAGCTAGCGGCAGGTGCGGCCTGCCCCGGGGTTGGGGGGTACAGAGTGGACTGCATTTCAGCCCAGCCCCCTCGACCTAGGACCCCCAGTGTCCTCGTTGCCCTCTCCCATCGGCCGCAATGCTTTGCCCATGCTGCTCTATCCTGAGACCTGCTCCTCCACACTCGTCGGCCCCCAGAATAAACGTGAACTCACAGGCCTTCTCGGACTACAGGCCCTGGCCCCCCCAGACCGGGCAGGCCCAGCACTGCCCTCTGCACTCCCTTTTACCGTCGAGTCCGTACTTGGCACGGTGACTGCCCTGTGCTTTCCAGCCCGGAAGCCTGGGGGCGCTGAGCCCGTGTCTGTCCCGCGGACCCCCTGGACCCCAGCATGTGGCACGGCGCCTGACCCTGAAGAAAGATGGAACTTTCCTTCCCAGAGGTTTTCCCAGCCCCCATCACAGGTGGGGCCAGGGTCCTGACGCTACAGAGAGAGACACTGAGACCTCAGGGAGGGAAGCTCGCCAGGAACGAGCACAGGAGCTGTGGGGGCCAACAGAGCCCCGTCTGGCAGCCTCGGAGCCTCAGCTCCGGTCCCGGAGATCTTCGGCCTCGGTGTCACTCCCACACAGTGACAGCACTGGACGCTGGGCTTCCGAGGCCCTTCTCACCACGACCGGAGCAGTAGCTCGGGCCCGGGGCTTGCCCAGCCCGCACCAGCCCAGACCCCATGCCCCCGGGCGGCACTCACGGCTCTTCCTGGCACCAGAAGCGGTTGACGGCAAAGGCAATTGCGACCAGCACCAGGAACACAGCCACGGCGATTAGGCCCTGAATCCAGGGCTGCAGGTTCCCCAGGCCTGGAAAGAGGGGAGCGGGGTGCTGCAGCAGGCCCTGCCGCAGTGGGGGCTGCAAGCATAGAACTGGGGAGGGAGGGACCTCGGAGCTAGAGCCTGTGTCGGAGGCCATCAGCCGGCCGCTGGGACCAGAGGAGACATTCTGGGGCAGCCAGGGTGGCAAGGAGGACCCACCTGAACCCCTCACTGAGCTTAGAGAGGGATGACAGTTGGAAAATGGGAATTCAAAAAAGGAAATGAGGTGCCAAGGAGAGACAGCTCTGAGCCCCTGCCCACCCCTCCACGTGGGTCACATGCAGGGCCCCCTACAGAGTGCCTGGGCCCCAGGGACCAAAGGGCAGCTCTCTGGACAGCTGGCCTGGGCCCTGCCAGCCCAGGTTGTCTCCCCTTCTCTCCGGCTCCCAGAAGGTGGGTGCAGCCAGAGCTGATAGGACTGGGCTGGCATCTGGAAGATCCTGTTTTGTAATCAGGTTTCCCTGGTACTGGGTAGGGCGTGGGAGTATAGGACAAGCAAGGCTGCTTTAGCTAGGGGTGCCTGGAGAGAGGGGTGGGACAGAACACCTTTGGAAAAGCAAGGCAGAAGGGCAAGTTCTCCTCCAGGTCGTGGGGCCAGAAGAAAGCTTCAAAACCTGAGCCCCTTTTATCTCCTCCAGCTGGGTGCCTACAGGACTAGGCCAGAGACCAGCTTGAGGCCCACCCCACCCCCGCCACTCATCATCTTCTTTACCTTTTGACCCTTGACCTTTGACACCACCTTCAACCCTCAAGGTTTCCCAAAATCTCTGCTCTCTGCCACAGGCAGCCCCAAAGGGCTCTCCCCTCCCCCAGGCATCACTGTGCTCCATGAGCTTGAGAGAGCTTAAACCTGCAGAGAATAGACACGCAGTAGCAGGTGGGTCTCAGGAGGGGGCAGAGGCCAACAGGAGGCTCCCAGAAGGTCTTGTCTCCAGGCCAAAACACATGCATGCCTAGTGCCATCCTGTATTTTGAGGGGCCCAGGCTGGGCATCAAAGACCTCATTCTGCCTCACCCTCACTCGGAAGTCCTTCCTTGAGTCTACCCTAAAGCTCTCCTGCTGCAGTGAAGGCCCTGCCCCTTCTCTGAGCTCTCTCTGAGCCTGCCACGTATGGGGAAGAGGGGAGGGATCCGGGAACTCCGTCCTAGGGCCAGATCAGTGTGGTTACCCTGAGCTCCAGACCTGCCAACAGGCAGACTTTGGACTCACTGTTTCCCCAAAGAAACAATGGATCAGACCCATTGTTTCCTCCGTCCATCCGTGTTTACTCAAGGATGGGGGGTTAGTGCTCAAACCCCGGGAGGCCCCTCCCTGCCTCCTCCAGACCCTGCAGCCAACTCCCTCCAGACACCCAGGGAACCCGGGTCCCTGCTCCTCCGTCCATGGTCCATGTGGCTCTGAAGTAAACATAGAGCACAAGGGAGAGAGCCTGCGGCAGGAGAGAGGTGACCTGAGCCCTGTCCCTGAAAGACTGCAAGTCCCTCCACGGTGATCTCAAACCTTCACATTGATGAAGTTCTTTCTGGCTTATCTCTTAACTGGGGCAAAAGGCCCTGGAGGGCAAAGCCTGTGCTGCTGGAAACCCAAACTCCCCCTTCAGGCAAGAAGGATTGCCCCGAGCCAGCAAGACCCCAAGACAAAGATTGACCTGACCTTCACTGCCCACTTGCATGGACCCACCTACTTTTGCCCCTCAGTTTTCTTATATAAACCTGGAAGTATTTTTGGCACTTTGGAGACAGTCCTGGAGACGCTAGTCCGCCGTCTTCCCGGCATCGGCCTCACTGAAATAAACCCTTTCTTGTTTCACTGCCTTTGGATTTTGTCAGGGGCCAGGGGCCGAACATGGTCTCTGTGGGGGGCCCCCGGAGCCAGGGGCTCATGAACCCGGCTACATCCCTTCTTGCTCTGCTGTGTGATCCACACAAGTTACCCCACCCCTCTGATCTGCGGTTTCCAAAAGGGCTTCAGAGACTGGGAGGCAGAGGTGAAGTAGACCTGCATGCCAGCTCAGGGCCCCTGCAAAGGAGGGGTACTCTGGGAGTATCTCTGCCAGTCCCCTCTGGACCCCAAATCCCACCTACAGAGCCCCAGACTTGTGCTGCAGATGCGGCCGCACAGCTCAGGGCGGACGGCAGACCTGGGGGTGTGGTGCCTCACTGGTGTGCAGCTTTCCCACGCCCTCACCTGGCAGCAGCCCTGGCAAGTAGGCAGGGCAGCTTTATTGTCCTCATTTTATGGATGAGAAAACTGAGTCTCACAAAGGGGCAGTGATTTTCTCCTGGCCGCACAGCAAGACAGAAGCAGAGTGGGACAAGAGCTCAGATTTGTGGAGGGGGCCACCCTGGGGCACTGTCCCCTACCAGAGCCCAGGAAGCTGAAACAATGAGGACTTAGGCCAGAGACATGGGCACAGCCCTAACAGCGCAGCCCCTCCCCTGGGACAAGCCGGCCATATGAGGGGCACCTCGGGCCCGCTCCCTCCTTCCTTGTAGCCCCTGAACCCCTGTCCTCAGGACCCCACCATCTCTCAGGCAATTCCTGCTCCTAGAGCTTGGGCCTCACTCCTCTAGGTCTCAGTCCAAGTCTCTACATTTCCCCTGCTGCCCACATTCCTCACTCCTGGAAAACAAGTCCTAGACAGAAGCCTTGCTCAGAGCTCTGCCTTTGGAGGTTCCTCCAGCGAGCCCAGTCCCTGCTGCTTCTTCCCAATTGTAGGTGTCCAGGGTGGTGAGGGAGGCCAGACGACCACCCCATCCACCCCTGCGTTACCAGCACCCAGCCCAGCCCCCCGCACCGCAGCCCCCAGTCCTGGACTACCTTGACACTTGGTAGGCGGCACTGCAGTGAACAGAACCACAAGGAGCAGGATGAGAGCCGACATGGCTGCAGGCAGCTTCTAGGCCTTCTCCCTGGCTGCTGGTATCTGGGCTCCTGGGGCTGCTGTGGGGTCTGTCAGCGTCTGCCTGAGATCCGCCTGGGCTCAGTCTGGCCCTGGAGGAGAGGAGCTAGTAAGGAAAAAGGCGAGGGAGGAAGGAAGGGAGGTGGAGAGAAACTGCCCTCCCTCCCATGGTAATGAGCTGCCAGGCCTGGCCTCCCAGGTCGGTGCCCTGCCCACTGGAGCCGGCATTCGAGGTCATCTTTCAAAGGCTGGACAAGAAAGCAGGTCTACAGACTGGGAAGATGTGAGGAGAGTTGGTGCCTCACCTCCAAGCCCCAGGCCTCCCCAGTTTTTGTGTCAGCTTTCCCCCATCCTGGCAGCGGGGCTGGGCTCTTAGGAGAGGAGTGACACATTATTGCTCCTGTGGGCGGGGTGTCTCGGAAGGCTGACAGTGGAATTAAGAAATCTGCTGTCGGCCAGGAGCTTGGGGAAAACCCCAGAGACTAGGGAAAGGTCCAAGCTGACCCGCCCCCACGGCCCAGCCCATTTCCTGTTCTTCCCCTCACCTGTCTCTCCTCAGCCAGACCAGACCATGGGGCTTCTGTCCCTCCATCCCTGGCCTAGCTCAGTAGCTCTATAATCTACCCTCGCCTGTGGGGATCATGACAGAGGGCCCGAGGGGCCCCGCCCACAGCCTTCCCTACCCCGCCCAGCTGCCCTGGTCCTGTTCAGCCCTCCTCTCGGCCCCAGATGGGGCTTCTGGAAGCTGGGTGGAAGCTCCCCAGGACAAGATCCAGTCTTGATCAGAGGCCATTATACATACCTTCTGATCCACCTCCACCATCACAGGGAAACAAGTGGGTGAACCCAGCCCTGCTGTGGAGGCAAAGACATCCCCAAGTGGAAGGTTCTAATCTGGGGCCCTAAACCCTTGGGCCCTCAAACCCCAGGATCACATGGAGTCCATCTGGTCCTCCAGCTCAGGAACTAAGAATGACCCAAGTACCTGTTGAGGCCCAGGGCCAAGGGTCACGCTGGGTCTCCTTGCCTCACCCCTCCCCAGGAGTACAGGAAGCCAGAGATGCTGCGAGTCTGATTCCGCAGACACCAAGAAAGAAGGACCCAGCATCCTGGGGCAAAATCTCTGAGATAGAGGGTCCCCAGAAGTCAGGGCATACGCTGGAAGTCCCTCCACAGCCTCCCTGCCCAGAAGCCACCAAGCTGCTGTTCACAGGACCTTGTGGGCCACCCTTTCTATTGCAGGCAGCCAGTGGCAGCGGTCAGGTGTCACGCCTCATCCCTGCTTCCTGTGTATGCACATTCGAGAGCAGCGTGCTCACTATCATCCAAAGATGGGGTGCCTCTGGTGATCTAGGGGAATTTGGCTTGGACTTGAATGACACATATATGTATATGTCCTATTCTCCCTCCCTAACCCCCAACTTGGCATCCTCAGAATTTTCTGGCACAAAGTTTGGCTAGAGTAGGCACCATTCGTGTTAATGAACAGCCAGGGAATCACCGATCGGAATGCAAGGAATGGAGTTGAATTTAATAAACATCAGGATGCCTTCTTGGAGAGTTTTAAGCAGGGCAGTCACATGGGCATATCTGCATTTGAGAAAACGCCTCTGGCCCCAGGGTGGAGATTGAGGGGGAGGGCAAGTGCTGCAAAGGGAGATCCTGGGGGGCTGCCACAGCAGCCCCACACCCAGTGCCTTGGTGGCACAGGGCTGTGGCTGTGCATCTAGTTAGGGGATGGAGTGGACAGGACACAGCGTCTGGATGCAGTGACTGGCAGGGAATGGCCGGACGGACAGGGAGTTGCTGAGGGTGAGGTCCGGTGCCTCAGAAGGGACTGGAGCAAGTTTCCAGAAGGGGTGGGGGAGATGATGAGCTACGGGCTCAGATGTATTATGCTTTGGCACCTGTGGACCCTCCAGAAGGAAACATTAGGAAGGCAGCAGGATCTTGGATCTGGAGTAAAGAGCTAGATCTGGGAGACATGCGTGGCACAGCATTGGCAACTGAGGCAACAGGAATGTATGGTCTCCCGGGGGGGGGGTCTATGGTGTGTGTGTAGTGTGTGTGTGCTGTGTGGCGTCTGGTATACTGTGTGGTGAATATATATGTGAGTGTGTGTGTGGTGTATATGTGTGGTGTATGGTGTGCTTGGTGTGTATACGTGTGTGGTGGTGGTGGTGGTGGTGTGTGTGTGTGTGTGTGTGTGTGTGTGGCAAGAGGAGAGAGCAGGAGAAAGGAGAGAAGTGAGGGACCAGGACACAACCCCAATGATAAGGGTCTTTAAAAAGGAAGAGGAGCAAGTTAGAGCAGGAGGAAGAAACCTCAGAGGAGTGAGATGTCCCAGAAACCCAGGAGGGAGAGATCCGATTTGAGCTGGCCGTGTCACTGTCATAGCCGCCCCCCCCCAAGAAGTGCCCCCGCAAAGTAGCCCAGCCTCTCCATCAGTCCCCGGGTGTCAGGTCCTGCCTCCCTTGCCCAAGCATCCCCCCTTCCCTAAAGAATACGGGGAAAGACAAGGACACCCGGGGCCATGTTTGGGATAGTGGGGGAAGGGGATGAGCAGGAAGGACATCAGGTGATCAACAGGAGGAAAACACACCTCCCAGGTCAAAGTCCCAAGCTTTAGAGCAAAACAAGTTGTTCCGGAAAAGGGGGATGTGGGTGGACACTTGGCTTTGAGGCTGGTCTCTGCTCTCTGGGCGTCCTCATCCAGCTGAGGGGGGGTCACCTCCCCAGGTATGGACATGGCCCTGGGTCCCCATGGTAACAGATTAGGCCCCCTGCTGCTCTGGTGTGGGCCCAAGATCTAGACTCAAGCCTCAGGAGCTCCACAGGGCTGGACTCTGTGTCCTCATCTCTGAGCTGCTGCTCCATCAACACTCAGTTCCTCCCTCCTGGTCCCAGCCCAGCTCTGCCACCCCAAATCATCAGTCCCCCTTGGACAGGTCCTCCATCCAGCTAGACCTTGTGTGATTGATTACCTTTCAGAAAAGCCAAAGTGGGCCTAGACTTTCCAGGAGGGGCCTTTCTCCCAACCCCCACCTGCCTGCCATTTTAGTTGTTGCCAGCAGGTGGCAGAGTCCAGCCCCGATCCCAGCCAGGTTGGGGAGGGAAGGGAGGGGGCCAGTTTGGTGCTGAAGATTCTGCAACTTCCCCTCCCTCCAGCCCCCCACTTCCGCCCCCTTCCATGGGTGGTTTGGAGGAAGAGAGGGTGGACACTGACATGTAAACAGTCAGCCATGCTGGGAAGAGTGCCCATGGCATGCGCAGGGCTGTGCTGTAGAGAAGCACAGACGACTAAATTGTTAAGGAAGGCATCCTAGAGGAGGCGATGCAAGGGAAAAAAGTTAGCTGAATTGCTGGACCAAGCAGTAAAGACGGCTCCAGAAGGACATCTGGGCAGAGAGAGGACAAGCAGGGAGACACATTGGAGAAGGGTGTTTAGAGCACAGAAAAGCTTTTTTTCACTCGTTCTCATAGTATTTCAATCTCATGAATGTTTTGTGGCAAGCCTGAGAGCTCCGGGATACCTTGTTTTATTTATTCAAGCAGATCTTGCTGAAACCCTTTAAGGGCTTTCAACAGCTCTTAAGATAATATGCAAACTTCTTAGCATGGGCTTGAAGACCCCACAAGCTGCCCTTACGCCCCTCTCCAGCCTCACCTCGCCCTAGCGCCCCTAAGAGTAGCCAAGCTCTTTCCCACATCAGGGCCACTACTCTTCCTATTTGCCTGGCGGACTCCAACCCATCCGCCACGTCTTATCCTAACTGTCACTTTTCTCCAAGGGGCTTTCCTTGACCTCCTTCCTCCCCCATCTGAAGTCGCTCTTCTGAGTCTCCCCTGCTCATTTCTTCACAGCCATGATCACAAATGCAATTACATATTGACTTGTGTGCTTACTCGTTTAATGTCTGCCTCCCCAGAGAGAAGGCATCATGTCCATGTCACCCCCAGTACACTAGTACTGAGCCCAGTACCTGAGCACACACCCAACAAATACTTTATGAAAGTAAGTCTCAGTAGATCCAGTGCCTACCTCTGGCCCAGCAGAGCCATTCCCTGGAGCTCAGGGAATGATTATTGAATAAAGCAAACATTTTAGCTGTAGTTGGGTCCCTGTCTTTCTCTACCTTCTAGCTGTGAGGGCAGAGCCTGGGTCTGATTCATCCCTGTGTCACATGGCTCAGAGAAGTTGGAGCTATCCAGCCTGGAATGAGAGTGAGCTCTCCATCCCTACAGGTGTGCTAGCAGAGGCCAAGAGCCAGGTCACTCAAAGGGAGCATCTGCAAAAGGGGTTCTGGCCCTTCCAGTTCTGGAAGCCTGTGATTCTGTGACTCTGGTAACACACTACGCTGGATATTTACGTTTTAATCAGGTTCTGAGGAGGTGGGCTGGTTAGGACTGTGGTAAGCCTCTCTCCTCTCAGACTCAGGACTTCTCTTACCTGGCTCCCCTTCACTTAGCACTCCCTTCACAAGGGCCCATAGGCAGAACTCAGGGGTTCATGAACTTGCATGGGGAAAACAATACATCTGCATGTCACCAACCTCTAGCTGAAATTGACCGTTTTCTTTCTTTCTTTTCTTTCTTTCTTTCTTTCTTTCTTTTCTTTCTTTCTTTCTTTTCTTTCTTTCTTTCTTTCTTTCTTTCTTTCTTTCTTTCTTTCTTTCTTTCTTTCTTTCGATTTTATTTATTTGACACAGAGAAAGACAGCACAAGCAGGGGGTGCAGGAGAGGGAGAAGCAGGCTTCCCGCTGAGTAGGGAGCCCGATGCGGGGCTCGATCCCAGGACCCTGGGATCATGACCTGAGCCGAAGGCAGACGTTTAACCAACTGAGCCACCCAGGCGCCCTGAAATTGACCATTTTCTTTCATTAAGAATAAAGGCAACAGAGTCACCTGGCTGGCTCAGTCGGTGCGACTCTCGATCTCGGGGTTGTGAGTTTGAGCCCCATGTTGAGGGTAGAGCTTACTTA